AAAGTTGGAATCTTTCACATATTTGCACACGCGTTCCAAACCGGACCGTCTGCAGCATTCAAGGAGTGCATTGGGGGTTAAAATGTAACGGACCAATTCGGGCCCCGGATGCCTGATGACATGTCTACATATTTATCCAGTGATTTTACATAATAAATTAACCTAAAAAGTCCGTTTCTAACTTAGAGGATTGGTCCAAGTTGGTAGTACAAGTAGAGAAAACGTTTATAGTATTTACTTAGTAAACTGCGCTACATTTTACACTTTATTTTTAAGTTCTTCCTGAAATGCCAAAAGCATCACTATCTTTTCTTCCAAACACGTGTTCGGAATTACCAATGTCATCAACTTTATTTGATGTTTCAATCTACAGCATGAGCTGCTTTTGAAAACGTCAGGTTAGAAATACACATTCCACATCCTTCCCGTATCAGAATGTTGATAATTTGATACATTTTGTTGCGAGCGTATTGAGAATTCCAATCAGTCATGATCAGTCCTAAAAATGGGTTATGAAACCTTTAGAACATATAAAAGAACTACATTTTTCTGGATCACTACATTCCTGAGAATGTTAGAAAGAGATAAAAAGATACATATGGTTCAACGCTAACCCATGGCACGTTACAAAACCTCATATCGAAAAATAGTAAATCGTTATCGGACAGCGTCTCCGGAATTTGTTTCGGTTTTGTATGTTTTGCAGCTTTCAAACACGAACGAGCTGTCTCGCGTAGACGCTACCCTAGATTTGCTTTCAGTGTACCAAAAACCCGTACTTTGTTAATCAGCTTTCTGGCCAAAATAGACTGGATGTAGTCCGGTCAATTTCGGCCATAATATGGATAACAATCAATATGTGGTCGTTGAGTAACTCGCTCGCGGACGATATCTAGGACAGCCTCGCGATACTTTCCCGTGGTTTTCCACGAAATGTCACGTGAACACATGGTTTAATATACAGAAGAGCTAGAAAAGCAGAAGACATCTCTATCAAGTTAAAATTCACGTGAGTAGTGTAGTTTAGTTAACAGATTTACTGGGTACATTAGTAGAAAAGTTCATTGGCCTCCAGTTAAGCTTGATGAATTGGATAGTTCTTTCTAATTAAGTACACCCCACAGTATGTGTATATAAAATTGTGCGTCAGATTGTGCTTTTATTCATTTTGAAGAGTGAGAAAAGTTAACTTACCTGAGAGTTTGGTTAGGGTTATCATTCTTTGTCTTGGAAATCTTCCAAGTATTATTTGATTGAGGTCTAGAATTTGAGGAGTTTGCAAAATGCCCCTTGTTTCAGCAAAAGTACAACATTCGTAAGATACTCACGCTTGTAATTTAAACTTTCGCAACAACTCTGTTGCACTTCTACCCTCTGAAATTAGAATAAGCAATGACTGGATTAGCAAATGTTGACAAATATTTTAGAAATACGGTGTCTGTAGACGCGACACGGAATGACATCCTACACACGAGAAGACTCATTGTTGGTGATGAGAATGCGCACATAGGTCTTTGATTCACCATCGTTCTATGCCTTGAGTAAAAAATGATGCAATTTACCACCATATTTCTGTTGCAATTACTTCTGTTTTATCATCCGAATGACAGTAAGGGCGATCGCATCTGGCCTTTTCGCCACGAATTATCGCCAGCGATTTGGAGGGGGGGACTCGAAAATAACGCTCCTTGGTATGAGTCTGACTTCTAATGTATTCAAGGCCAGCAAGGTCGTCATTAAGAAGTAATTTTGAAAATAAGTCTCTTAAGTTTGAATCCTTCAGAGTATGCTCCTGAAAACATAACACGTGAATCATGCAAGCAACTCAGTAGTAGCTCTGAGAGGGTTGTTTCCTAATTTGACCGGACTTGAAATGTGTTTGTTGAACTTAAAATATATGAGAGAAACACCGTATAAAGACGACAGGTCTGTAGGTCAACTTTAGTAAAAGTGCGACAGACCCCGTTAGTCGTTATGCCTTTGTTCCTTTTATAACAACAAAGTCTAACATCATGGAGGAAAGTGGATTTTCGCAACCTACATCAAAAAAGCAAAGGTACGGCCATAGTTCCCATTCTCAATAATTGCTGTTCTTACGCTCTCGGGTTACTAGCATAGTCGGACAGCATAACAAACTTAGTTTGGATACATATTTTCAACGGAAATCCCATTTTTCGCGAAAATGGGATGAGATTAAAATGGGTTTTGTTCTAAGTGGGAATGTTTCATTCTGGAACGCTTACCTACATACGAATTTTATCACAACTGTGACTCGCTTGACGTGGTGATGCACCAGTTATTCTGTGGGGGGGCCGGCGCTCGCATCTGATGAGTCCAAATCAAGCTTTTTCTGCTCAGAACGACTGAAAAAGTTTGCCAGATGAACTCACGTCAGGTAACTGATTTAAACGTTCAACAGGTCAAAAGTAGTTTCCCACCATAAAAGGAAAACAAACAGTTCAGCCTGGTAGAACTACCATGAACGTAGTGTACTGCTTTGTAATCGTTTCATCTGCAGAGCCGTCCCCCATATCGATGATTTTGGCGCAGAACCAGAGTTTCCGTCGTCATATGCTCCCACAATTTGTCTATGCCATTTTCCTCCTGGAAACTGACTGTTCAGTAATATCAAATTTGTTTTCCACAACATGCAAATGACCAACATAAACGTTTCTTCAAAAAAAGCACAGTTGCATCGTGGTCGATGCAAAGAATTCTATCTATTTTTGACTTTCCCTAATTATCCAGTGGTGAACCAGCCATGACAAGAAACTTGTATGACAGTTCAAGCGATGAAATCTGTAAACCTGACCGCACCACCTTCATTATCTCTAGTTTTTTTTGAAACAGAATGAGTGCAATTGCAAAACAAGCAGGTTGACTCTGTAAGAGTTTATAGTCGTGTACGTGAGTCTGATTCCTCATAACCAACCCAACTCATCATAAAAGTTGAAAGCGCCTCATGTGTTTTAAAAATGTGAAATCCAAACAAGAGTAACATAAGTAGCGAAACGTTCTACTCAAAATTTTTTATGCTTGCTTAGGAAATTACTCTAAAACTTTTTCACACTTTAGCCAATCTTCAAATCACCCATGAACTATACAGTGACGTATGCCCACCGAATACAGATAAAACTGAGGGCGAAAATTAATTCCAGCTGCACTCATCTTAAGAAAACAAGCCAATATATTCCTGTAGGAGACAGTTTTTGTTTCTCGGTCATACGATTTACTCCCTATGAATAGAATTTTAATTATGACATTTGATTTACTAACCGGTACTCGTGTCAAACAACTTGTTATTGGTATCAACCCAATAATAGAGCGAATTTGTCTTCATCGAAAACGGCTCAGCCAGGGATATGATAATACTGGAGATATACTTACAATCACATCTATTGAAGTACAGACAGGACGTACTGTCGGTCGAAAACCTCAAACAATATGGATATTTTTAGCGTCTAGTGAAGTCGACCCAAAATATTTAACTGAAACTTTTTCGTTTCTTTTTCTGAAAAAGCAGCCGCATAGAAAAAAGCGTCTTGATATCCTAGAGTATTAAGCCTAAGAATATGAGGTCTTTAAACTGGAACCGTAGGAAACCAAACGAGGAGTGATACAAGAAACGCTTGTTATAGTGCCCAAACTAATATATTCAGAAAAATTGCCGCTATAATGATTCACTCGTAGATAATTCCTGTGAGTATCAACTCAGCATCAAAAGCAATCTCCAGCGATCAACTTTCGAAGTTGGTTGTGCTGATAAAGGGCACGAGGATGATGGATTCAGGCTTTATTGTTCTCCCCGACTAACAAACTGCGAACGTGCTTTCGAGTACACAGAAGCGACTCGCGTGACCAGTATGTGACTCATTTCCGGCTCGAATAGTGAATATCAAATTATCGAGTAAATTCATTTGGCTGTGAAGAAAGATGACTCAGTTCCTGGTTAATGTTTCTTGCAACCACCCTACTGTCTTGATGACGCATTATCTGAAATTCCCTAGAGGATTCTTTGTGGGTCTAAAGACGTTTATGACCAAGTTGAGGGCGCATGTGGGCTTAAAAAATTTCGATTTTTCGAGGATCGTTCCTTCAAACAATGGAGCAAACAGTTTTGGTAACTTACTTCAACTGCGGAAACTTCCTAAACAATTGATCTCTTAACCTTTATGAAGCGTCCTTCAGGGAATCATTGTGCTTGCTGAAACTTGTGTTCGTGCATACCAAAGAAGCTCTGGGCTTGGGTTTTTATATCAAAGCCACAGTAAAGGAAGTAAGAATGCTTCCTTTGCTTTTGACTGGCGTACACTGGCCCCATTGGAAAAAAGAGCCATTCTTCTTATGTTTTCCTCGTGTTTATTTTTTATTTTAATCTCGTTATTCTTGCCACGTCTATCCTTTAAACTTGTTTTGGTGCACTTAGGCTGGACTACTAGATTAGGCGTTTTATGAGTAATTCTGTGGCCTACTTGATTGACACCTTTATTCAGTGTATATAAAAAATGCGGAACAATCTTTGTTTCGGAATATCTTCAAGGGATGTATAAGATGACAACAATTTATTCGTTTCGAGTAAAATACACTCTGGCCATCTACCTCAAGCATTGATTATTGTGTTATAACTGCAAAATCCCTATAACGAACAGTCTACAGATGAAATAACCAAAAGAATTCGCTAGTAGCGTGGGTGGCTGCCAACAATCGAATCAATTTCCTCCAAAATTACACCACGTTTAGAAAATTACGCTAGTGGAAGCAGAAAAATGAGCGGCAAGTATACTAATTTTAGTAGTTTAGATTTGTTTGTAGAAAAACAGAATTACTGCCTGGGCTATAACTCCATTCTCTATCCTAAGCTAATTGTTATCTCCATCTTTTAAATCTTTCACCTGGAACGTAATAAACAATTCATCATTCATTACTAATTATTGCATTCGGGCAAACAACAGAGCGTTAGCTGGTGTTTTTCATTATATCAAGACCGACCGTACACTTACGTCTTGTTTATTTGAGCGGCCGAATGTCTTAGATAGTATTGAGCGCAGCAGCGTTTTTCTCTCCGATGTGAAAGATGAACGCGGTTGCATGTGTACTGATCCAAACTCCGAGCCGTCTGAAGTGTGCCTCAACCTCCTTGTCGGTGAGTGATTGTGGCCAATTGTAGGCTGTTTTTGAGGTAGTACTACTCGACTTTTTTCCAGCGTATCCAAAGAGTTTAAGGAAGATATCGAAGCATTGGCTTCTAACCACTCCTCTTCAGTTCTACCAGACATCGTAATATGCTCCATTTGATGATTACGTTTTGGAGATAGAACCCATCTCAGTCGGGACATCTGCATGCGCCGCAGAACGGGGGAGGATTTCGGGCTTATCAGGTGGGATAGAACACTTGATCTGCATTGTGGGGCTGTACACGTTGCCTTCTGGTATTCATCTACACTGCAAATAGCCGGTGAATCGGGTTCATCCTCTGTTGTTTGTTCTAAACTCACATAACCACGTATTCGTCTACGCGGAGACAGTAACCTAGGAGAGTTGGTGTGTGATCCCATTTTACCACAGTTTTATTTGCTTAGTGTACTTCCAAATACTCCAAAACAAAAGCGGCACGGCAAGTGTCACATTTTGAAATACGGCGGTTGGTTTGATCTGATTGGCCCCTTTCAGAAAGCAGTTCTATTGGCTGTCACGTTATGATGCATTTTAGGCTTACAACAGATTCACCATATTTGATGCATCCGTAGCAAGTACAAAAAAAACGACGTCTTGATTGGGTTTGAGTGTGAAGCGATGTCTTTCAGTTTCAGACAAACGTAAAGTGCACCACATAAGACAACGTAAAAATGCCTCAGAAGCAATTGCGAACACATCTGTTAGTGATAACTGAAATCGTAGTCGCTTACCTCATTATTTCCGTGCTGAATATTCTAGGGAACTTGGGGTTGACTAGAAGTAATAACCGCGCTCAACTTTTGACACTTTACAAAGTGTTAGTGATAACTGAAATCGTAGTGGCTTTCCCCATTATTTCCGTGCTGAATATTCTCGGGAACTTGGGGTTGACTAGAAGTAACAACCGCGCTCAACTTTTGACACTTTACAAAATACATCTCACGCAAACAGTGCATGCATTTACATCCACCTAAGTCTGCAGGCTGTCCCACAACGGACATCTGGAGGTGTCAGGCTGCCGCGTTCACACAATGTATGTTGTAGCATTTCTCGTCAGCCATTCACACATCCAGATTCCTTTTAGTTACGGTTCTCGATCATTTTATGTTAGTTATCTGGTTGCGCAGTGAGCGGTATATTAGCCGGCCAGACAATTCGGCATCACGGCAGCATGCACAACAGAAAATGGGGTTTCCCAATGGGCGACCCCTCAACTTGTATTTTGCAGACAAAAAGGGTTTTACCGAATAGTTTGACCCTTAAAAACTTAGCGAATACGTACCTAATCCTACTGTTGAACATACGTCAAACGAATACATATCTTTTACGATCAGTTCACACTGAATAGGCCTTCAATGAATGGACACGGCCGTCACAGCAACATCTGAAACACGACAAACACAGAGCATTTTTGCTACAATAATTCTTTTGCTTGATCCGGATAGATATATTGATTTGCATTGCCCTTCTCTGAATAAACGCCAAGAGTAAAACATTTCATCGTCCTGCCGTGGAATCACCGAGTTCGACCTGACAACTTTGCCATTTTGGATTGACTATTCTTCATATTGAACGCGACCAGTGAATGGTCCTTCTTCTGTTGCAGCCACCGATCATGATGGATGGTGTAATAAAAATCCTTGATGACCACACGTGTTTTGTTCTTGCAATGTTGTTGCACTCTGATTAGTAGTGGTGGTAGTGTTCGTCTACGGATGGTTGCTTCATTGTGGGCATTTCTTTCGTCACCTTGATATGTACAATTGGGATGTTGACGCCTTTCTTCTATTTTTATATTGTACAACGCGATTCCACCTTTTTTGTTGTTTTTGGTTTGCGCCTATACAACCGTTCTTGATTTTGACCTGAACATAAATCATTCGTTGACCTTGTCATTGGACGTGTTGTTTAAGTCCACATGTGTTTTCGCTAGCTTGTAAACACTTGGCTTTGAGTCGACGTGGACTTTGAGACCCGTTAGGAATTAGCAGTTCCTAAACCGGTGTATAGAAGCCGGCACGATTTGAAGTTTGTAAATTTTCATCATTTTACTATTGTACTTCTAGTACCGCATTTGTAGCTCAACCTCCATTTGAAAGAATTGGCTTTTTCTGTTTTGCGCATAACTCGACGTTGTTCAACAGATTGCTGAAATCAATATACATGGATGTCCCAATAAAAATCCTCTGGAATATGTTGCGCTGATATCAGTTTGATTCTAGAATGTGTGCATGTTGGTCTTGAGATCTTGAAAGGACCACGTACTACATTTTTCCAGGTTGACAAATTGAAACATAGAGTGAGGAAAGACAGTTTGCAGTAAATCCCTTGGGCTCCTTTTTGTGAATCTCTAAATTTGAAAACATTGTAACAAAAAGCAATTGCAATGTGATAAACACGTAACCGGTGAAATTGAGGGAGCCAATCAAAAGTGGATTTACATGTCTGTAACTCAATTTCGGCCCTTGTCTACCAAAAGTTATCCTACTCATTTTTCAGCAACTCCAGGGATGTAGACTTTTTCTCTTGCAACCGAAGGGAATATTGAAGGCTTATTGATTACACAAGGTTGGTACTACTTCTAGCTGAGAATTTTCACTCGATTATCTGGTGACAAGGTGATGTGGATTTCAAGACTAAAGTATATGTAGCACTGTCTCCTGTGATTACTTACACATCTGTCGAATAATACGGCATGCGATTTGTTCAGTATCACTGACCAAATAATCAACGATCGTGAACCCGCAGTTAATAATCGAATGCACTTTTTACAGGCTGGGACAATATCCCAGAGAGGTAAACAGCACCACCTTCTAGATTAAAGACGCAACGATGACTGTAAAAAATAAAACCCTTCCCAAGAATATCCTGAAGGCTCAGAATGATGACAACATTGAAGCTGGAAATCAGAAGCGTAGCTTTTATCATCTGAGGCGAATGCGCCTGTCTGTGCCTGGCCTACACACAACTGATTTGAGATTGACGGCCCAAAATGCGGATAAATAACCATACTGAATAGCAGTACCCATCAGACGCAAGTGTTTATAACATCAATAACACAAGCGTGGTTTTAGTCAAAATTCCAGAGAAGACCAGATAACTAAGACTTCTAAAGCGACTTCATCAATATCTTGAAACCCGCGCAAAGCTCAACGGAATAATCTTCGTCGTTTAGATATTCAAATCAGCACTCTTAGTTTCATTTCACTGGTTTACATTATTAGTGAAGACTTTTTCCCCTAAGTAGGGCTTTCTATTCTGAAAAGCCGAGAAGCGCTATTAGCCATTTCCTACTTATTTAGGGTTAGTTACAATGTCAATCTCATAAATTTCTGGCGGCATTTGATCTGAAGGGCTTCGAAAAAGAAGATGAAATCCAAACATTTCGGTTAAAAGCAACCGGTAAGTTGTGTGAATAGCCAACAGTTGGACAAAATATTACACTACTCATCTTCCATTCACGGAACTCATGTTATATGTCACGTGGTTCCCGGTCCCAAAAGGCTTAAGCCACAGGCTTAAGCTACTAGCCTGAAGGTTCTAAATTGCTGTTGTGCTAAATTTTGTAATGCTCTTCCAAATTTAACTGGATATTGTGTACTGTGATCCGCTTAACATGAAGTGTCGAAACTTTAAAACATGAGTTCACACAGTTGATCTATGTTGTCATTGCAATCCGAGAGAAAGTCTCCTTAGGATAGGAGAACACTCCACTTTGTTTCAAAGAATTTACTGGTCTACAAATAACACTATTTGCTGTCATTTGTCGAGGATCATTTTGTCGATCATTTTGTTGGTTTTCTTGGTTTTAACGTTACATAAATTTTTCACATGGGGACTGCACGGCAAGGGTTCACGTTTCATGAACCGAAGTGATTCTGCAATTGGGACGCTCAAATATGCTTGAGTGCGCTAACGGTTTTACTGTAGGATAAACAGTAAAATGAAATTAGTACTGACCTAAACACTTAGCTCTTTATAAAAAACGTTTTGCTTCATATTTACTTCATTTTTATTTGCCGTCAACCCTTTTGAGCCAAATTTAGCGTGATCCGAGTGGTCTCTGCGACAAATAAGGTTTCGAGGCAATTGTATCTCCAACACAGTACCGTATCACTTTGTCATTATTGACTGAATTTGTCAGATGTTTTCTGTTCAAACCGTGTGCAGCTGAGACAGAAAGAACCACATTTATTACCACCATACCTTATGGAGGCAACAATGCGTGCGTGTGACGATTATACTCCCCCCTAGTTGAAAGGCATCGCTATCAGCTGGAATGGATCTGAATTGATGCAATCATGCATAAAGCCTGCATGCTTTCTTCCATGGTTCAGGTAGTTCACCACTTACACACCAGATGTGTCAGCCCGTGAATGCACGGATCATTTGTCTCATTTGGTGTGGCAACTGGTCTGTTTCTGAGAAGAATTTTAGGCATCACGTGGGAGGAGATCATGCCCTCTCCGCAGTATGCATTTTTTCATCTAGTTGCCTCCTAAATTAGAAAATAATCCAAAAAAGCTTGTCGGTTGTTTTTTACATCCCTGCACCATAAATCATTATTAGAATGTCAAAGAAACTCGATCATATGAAGCTTAAAAAACGCATTGTGCTACTAACGAAAAAAGTTGTATACTCATTAAAGTGACGAAATATTTACCTTGAAGAAACTCTGCATAAGGCAACAATTTGTTTCTAAAAGAATTGTCAGTAGAGTTTATAAGTAGAGACGTTTTATATTCTCTAACAACTTGATTCAAAATAGTTCCCGAAGTATTTCAAAAAGTGCTTGTTTTAATAGCGGCGCTTCAATGTGCTTTCCTAGATTCTCCACTAACCAAAGCACGAGAAAAAGGAAATTCTAGTGTCCTTTAGTGAGACTTCACTGAAATGGATGTGGATGTGCACACGTTTGTCATAATTTTGACCGATGCACAAGTTGTCGCAGTGACACGTGTGTTCAAACATTTGTTCGAGTAACAATAATAATCATAAGCGACAACTTGGAAATCAACGAAGGCGCAGATGCGATATATGTTGAATACGAAGAATGCAACACAGAAAAGCAAAATTTCGGAACTGATGATTTGATTTACTTCAGAATTGTCTGCGTTGTGGCCCGAAAGCAAGAGAGATTGCACGCTAATTGGCATGAAATAAACTTGAGTTGAAGTGCAACCGGAATTCTAAATAAGGTTTGTATTGGGAATAATTTGATTACAAACTAAATTCAGTCGATCCCAAATTTGTTGACAGAGATTGCACGCTAATTGGCATGAAACAAACTTGAGTTGAAGTGCAACCGGAATGCTAAATAAGGTTTGTGTTAGGAATAATTCGATTATAAACTAAATTCAGTCGATCCCAAATTTGTTAA